TAACTTTAATTTTGGTAAGACCAGGGATGGTTAGGAATGAGAAAAAGTCTGGTTTCGGTAATAAGGTTGTCGAATAGTTGGAAATCTTCGGGGCTCTTGTCCAGTTTATGCGTCCCATGAAAGTATATGCGTCCCATCAACAAAAAATGGGATATTTCTTGGTGTTGCAAAGTAGGGGTATGGTTCCAAAGCATTTCTTCATGTTCGGGATTTACGTCCACTGGGTCTGGGACCGTTCCTTACCCTATACCTCGAAATTTCTGAAAGTTAAAATCGTTTTTCTGAAATTTTTAAAAATTGGCTATAACTTTCAGAAATTTCGAAGGATAGGGTAAGGAACGGTCCCAGACCCAGTGGACGTCGATCCCGAACATGAAGAAATGCTTTGGAACCATACCCCTACTTTGCAACACCAAGAAAAATCCAATTTTTTGTTGATGGGACGCATATACTTTCATGGGACGCATAAACTGGACAAGAGCCATCTTCGGATGTCCGGATCTAGATATCCGAACCGAAAATTTCGGATATTCGGATTCGGACCGAAAATCCGGATCCGAACCGGAAATTTATGTATATCCAGTCTTTATTCGGATCCGGAATCCGGATCCAAAACCTTATTCGGTAACCCGACCATTCCCTGTTATAGACAAAAGGAGAATCTAAATTTTCTGCTTCCCGCCGCTACCGCTATCCAATATTTCCCAGTAAAGTTGCCCAACTGACCGTAGGGTTTAAATTCATAATCGTCTCCACAAAAATCTTTGCATCCTCAACAGAATTATGTTCTATTTGTATAACCCTAAAATTATTTTCCAGCTCTTTTCCCTTCAAATCAACTCCAAAAATATTCAAAAAATCATTTTTCTTTGAATTTTCATTAGTTGATGTTGTACACACAAATCTCAAATTTTCTGGCCATTCATCTATAGAACGTCCTAATAAACTAGCAATAGACTCATTCCCATCAGTTTGGTGGAAATTGGCTTCATCTAGTCCATCAACGAGTATTAAAATGAATTTAGGAACTTTTTCTTTTTGTTGGTGATGATGATAGGGGTTGGTAGATGGATAATCAGTGGTACTTCCTATAAGATTATTTTTTTAATTGAGAGAATTTGTAAAATTGATCAAGCCTTCCTACAGTCTTCATACTAGTGCAAAGGGGCTTTTCAGCCAATCTAGTAATGCGAAGGGAACGTTTCCTCCAGTCTGGACATGTTTCCCTTCCGCCTATTGCAAAAGGGCTTTTCAGCCTACCTACTAATGCGAAGGGAACGTTTCCTCAAGTCTTCCTGCTAGTGCAAAGGGGCATGTCTTTTCAGCCTATCTAGTAGTAATGCGAAGGGAACGTCTCCTCAAGTTTGGACATGTGTCCCTCCCGCCTAGTGCAAAGGAACAAATCCCTTTATGTTCCCTCACTATTGTTCCATTCAGCCTACATCCTAGTGCACAATCAAAAAATTTTCTAAAAAAAATTTTCACCACAATTACTGCCATAACAACTTCCAATACTAGAGGAAGAAGAATCATGCCACCTTGAAGATTTATCTTCCTTCACATTTTTATTACCAATATCCTTCATATTTTCGTTACTACAAATTTGACTGATAGGTTCCAGAATTAATTTACGTAGTAAATCTTGAGAGGAATATTTTAGTGAAGAATATGGGTCGGTAGCAAGTTGATGGAGTGTTGGATTTGATCGTATCTATTGTTTAAAAAATTATTATTTTGATTCTGCAGGGGCCAATAACAATAACGGAGACAATCGACAAACGATAGATATATTACAAATTTGTCGTTTATCGTCTATAATATATCGAATGTCGTCTGAATATGTCAGCTGACGATATTATGGAAATTATCGTTTATCAATTGTCATTTGTCATTTAGCGTTTACCTCCAATAAAAATTAAAGGAGACAAACGATATAATAGAAGAATTTCTTCTCTAGTCTTTTTATTCTTCGCGCCTCATGCATTCTTTTCTCAACTTTATAAAGAAATTTAAAGAAAACAGGGAGAGTGAAGAAACAGAATCGCTCACTCCTTTCCCCTCTTTTCCTTATACTCAAACACACCCGAGGACAGAAACTTTGACTGGCCATAAAGTGGCCCAAAGTCGTTTTGCAAGAAAACAAATATTATTTTGTAATAGGAAATCGTAAAAATTATCCACCTCAAATCGGTTGATCTCAAATGCCCCGATATCCCCAAATTCCCTCTAAATCTCTCTTAATCCCTGAATATTGAGAGATAGTGGGGATAAAGCGGGATTAAGGCATATCCTTTGATATTCCCCTTGATCCCAATTAATCCTTTTGATTCGATCTATACTTGAATCACTCCAAATATATCAATATCCCTCCTAATTCACCAATATTCCCCTTAATCCACCGATATCCCATTAATCCCTCCAATTTTTATACCATTAGATAGAGGAGAATGTTTTACATGCTATAAGTAAAAATCAGAATTTTAGCTTTACTTCCCTAATATGTAGTTATAAAATTTATAAGATGCTTAATCAAAAATTAAAGCCCTATTTGAGAGAATGAGTCCCTATTTCTCTCAAAAATGGATGTACCTTACGCGAGAGCCTCTAGTAAATTTATTTTTAAAGTAAAATTTTTGGAACTTATATCAAAAGATAGAGCACATTCTAATCTATCTAAAAATATTTTATTTGGAATTTTTAGGTTGAATTTGGATTTAAAAAAAATTTTTTAAATTTCAAACGATAAATTTGGGGGACAGGTTTGAGCATCCACTAAATTTGTCGTTCAAAAACCGTAGTTTTTCTCTAGTTACCGTAATAAATTATCGTTTGCAACGACAAACGACTAATTTCGGACGACAAACGACAAATCTCGACGACAGTCGATATAATAGAGACGATAAACGACAAACGATAAAGATATTTATTGTTATTCGAGGTAATCGACAAACGACGTATCCGAACGACAAACGTGAAAAATATATCTATCGTTTGTCGATTGTCTCCGTTATTGTTATTGGACAGATACCCCTTAATTTAAACGTCCTTTAAATTTTTTTTAGGTAACTGGTAATTCTGGTATTTTGTTAGGTAAACCATGACTAAATAGTCGAGACTTCCCAGAAAATTTTTCGATTCAGTTCCGGATATTTCAAAAGTTCCAAGGACCGACAACTCTTGTAACAGATTGGATTTGACCTTATCGGTAGCAAGTTATGGGTCGGTAGTAGGGTTGCCGTATTCGAGTCGGGCCGACGGTCAAGGCATTTTTTTCGGGCTTGTTTTTATCAAGTTGGGCCCGTACGAGTCTTTTTTGTGCCAAATATCTTAGGCCCGACTCGATCTTTCGGTCAGAGCGGGCCATTTTTGGCAACCCTAGTCGGTAGCAAGTTAGTCCTCCATATAAGGCCTCCAATTACATATCTCCAAATTAGGGTAGCCTATTACTTTTTAGCCCTAGACTCAATCCTAAAGTGAAATCCGACTATATTTTCAATTTTAAATTAAAATTTTTTTTACCATTTTTCCATAGCTTTTCTTTAATTGAGGACAATCACAAAGTTGCGCACATATAGAGCGAATAAACTCAGGAATAGCACAACTTTAAATTAAAATTATTTTAATTTGAAATCAAATTTATTTGCCTTTTAGAATCGTGTAGGTGAGCAAAATGAAAGGCACAAATATTCTGACCAAGAAAATAAAAATCAGAATTATCAGAATTATTAAAATCAGAATTTTTAAAATCAGAATTATTGAAATCCTCCTCATTCAAAGATGTTTGAGAGCCTAAAGGTGAAGGGTTTGTACTTATAGCCGATACAACCACTATTCCGGAATCGACAGTGTTGTTTTGTTGTTCTTGCTGTGATTCTTGTTCTAGTTGAGGTGAACTTGAAGTTTTCCTTCCTTTCCTCCCAAAATATGAATTTTCTATTAAATAACGAATTATTGCACTCTTTCCAGTCCCTGAAGCTCCCACTAGCAGTACAACTTTGACTTTTTCTTCCTTCAAAATTTCTTCCAATTTATTAAATATCCACTTCCTTCCAACAAATTTATTTTGATTTTTGTCGTTTTCAATGCTCAAGGTTGAGAAAAATAATTCTTGTTCAAAATTAAAAATTAGGGGAGGAGGCTGGTCAAATAGGGGGAGGTTGTTCTCTTTGGGGAAGTTGTTCTCTTTGGGGAAGTTGTTCTCTTTGGGGAAGTTGTTCTCCTCCCTTAAATTTTCATCCTTCCCCTCCTCCCTCATCTCCTTATTCAGCTTCATTCTACTTCTATTCTCAATTTCAACTTGTCGTTTAATATGCCTTTCCATTAATTTCACAATATCCCTTCCATAATAACAAGCATTCCATTGTTTAAATCTCTCGTCCTTTTCAAATTCACAATCGGCACTTTTTTCTCGATTACTTCTAGATCTTTGGGGTCTTTGATGTCTTTCTAAAGGTGGGGCAGTTTCTGAGGGAGAATTGGCGGCGGCTGAACGGCGACGCTGCAAAAGTTGAGTTCGAGGAAAACGAACAATGTTAGCATTGGAGGATGAAGCATTCTGGAAGTTAAAATATAGTTACGGAAAATAAACGGAATTATGTGGGTATTATTAGATTTTTCTGCTGCAGTAAACTCTATTATTAGAAAAAATCCATCAAAATATTAATCCGGAAATATATGTATTTAATATTTCCGGAAATATATTTTAATTATGTATCAAGTACAGATACCTATATTTCCGGAAAACTATTTATAAGTATTTCCGGAAACAATTAAATATTTCCGGAAAATGATGTACTATATTTGTTTCCGGAAATATTTAGTTACTGAAATTGTTTTCCGGAAAATTATTTATAATTATTTCCGGAAATAATTAAATATTTCCGGAAAATACATAATTCGGAATGATGTATATATGTTTCCGGAAATATGCAGTTAAATTAATTTCCGGAACTATTTAATTATTTCCGGAAATAAATTAATTTTCGGTATATCTAAACAAATCAGAATATATTTTTCCGGAAAAAATTCAAATATTTTTTCCAGACAAAAATACAAAAAATCACTCCAATTAATACCTGTGTTTGTATTTGAGTCACAGGAAAATTATAATTATGGTTAACTACATATGGAGTAGCATAACGAATTTGTTGTTGCTGTACATTATTACAACCATTAATATTTAACAATGTTATTGCTGAATGGCTAGGGGATTTAGGCACTAATTGGAAATTGTCTTCTTTTTCCGGATTTATTTGCGGGGAGATTAGTGGAAGGTTTTGAGGCCTCTGGCAGCGATATTGAGTTTGGGGAATTGGAGGAATTGAAGGTGGTGGTTGGCCAGGATTGTGTAGAAAATTGTTGGGTTGTTGATAATGATTGTTACGCCAACTTAAAAAAATTTTTAAATCAAAATATCCCCAGTAGCTTACCAAGCGGCGTATATTTCCCCATCGGGTGCATAGCGTGTGCTAGGCAACATATTATAACAATTTAAGTTTTGTTGAGGATTTGCATTTTTAATATTACTTTCTTTATGATTATAGCAGTGATTAATATTATTAATAGGAGGATTAGGCAATTCAACGTTATTACTTTTGGTGATCAAGGGATCATGCTTCAAAATAAAATTAATTTAATATTTAGTTCCGAAGATTAATATATTTTCCGGAAAATAAATATAATTATTTCCGGAAAGTAAAATAATTTCCGGAAAATAAATGTATTCCGGAAAATATTAAATTCCGGAAAATAAATTATTTCCGGAATTAATGTATTTTCCGGAAAATTAAATTAATTTCCGGAAAGTAAAACAATTTCCGGAAAATAAATGTATTATATGTATTTTCCGGAAAATAAATTAATATATCTTCCGGAAAATAAAGTATTTTCCGGAAACTAATATATAAATTCCGGAAAAAACTATTTCAGGAAAATACTTTAATGTATTTTCCGGAAAATATATTAATTTCCGGAAACTAATAATTTATTTCGGAAATAAATTACTTTAGGAAAATAAATTACTAATTTCCGGAAAATACAAAATCTTAAAATACAAAATACAACTTACAAATGACGGAATCTTGCTTCGTATTTTATTAGTTTTTCCATTTTTCGATTGCTTTTGGCTTTGATTGTAAAATTCACTAAATTTATTATCAATCCCTATTACTGTATCTCCTTTCATCTTGAGTGATTTCTCTACATTTTTCTCCAATAATTGAGAATTTTGTATAGAGGAATCAGTTGTTAAAGGTAATCGACAGCTTCCCCCAATCTGATTTTTGTTGGTAATTTTAGCCATTATTGATAGAAATTCGTCCAAGTCATTGTTTTCGCCAGGGTTAATTTGAGAATATTGGTCAATATCCTGATAAATAATTTTAGTTATATATTGATGAGTTTCCGGAAATTACTTACAAAGATCAATATATTTTCCGGAAAGTAAATTAAATTATTTCCGGAAAATAAATGTTTTCCGGAAATTGATGTATGCAAAACCTCCATTTTCCGGAAAAAATATAATACCTAAATTATTTCCGGAAAATAGACTTCAAAAATATTTTTCCGGAAAACACACATTATTTAAATCATGTATTTTATTGCTTAATATGAAGGAATATTATTAGATATTTTCCGGAAAAAATTAAAACAATTTCAAAAAATAATTAATTATTTTACCCGCTTAGTTTTGTTGGTCTCAACTTGTGTTTTCCATTTAATTTTTGACTGGTCCTTAAAATTCCCTTGTTTATCGCTAAAAGAATTATTGGCAGAATTATTATCTTCCTCGCTAGGCCTTTCAAAGTTCCAATTAGTAAAATCCTCTCCTCTCCCCAAAACTAAAATTTAAAAAAATAATTTTCACTTGGACATTAAAAACACCTTTTTTAGACCGACTAAGCCTAGGCGTTGCTGGCAGTCGAAAGAGGCGGCTTTTGAACGGATTAATTTGTCTAAGAGAACGGCGTAGGCTGTTTAACGGCCCTCCCTCATTATTTTGTTGTTTATTTCCGTTAATAATTCCCCCATTGGAAGTTGACCCAAATGAGTTAGAGGAAGAAGAGGAGGATGCAAAAAATGCGAAACCTCCATTTTTTGGGCCATAACGATGTTCGGATTGTTCGTCTCTCGGCATAAGTAAGGAATGTCGTCGAATGGAAAAAGGCTTTTTATCCATTTTTAAAAAAAGGTAAACTAGAAAATAGGTAGAATAGACAAAAATTAAGAGTAAAATCCATTAAAAAATTTTTTTTGAAAAAAAAGTCTCGTTATTATGAAATTTGAGCGGCAAAATTAAAAGCATGCCTTTTTAAATAAATTTTATTTATTTTTTAATTTTATAAAGAATTTTTCCGGAAACCACATAATTAAAATAAAAATACAAAAAATGAAACACAAAATACAGTTTTTCCGGATGTGTTTCTTAAAAACATTTTCTTTTCCGGGAAGTTAATATAAAATACATGTTCCAGAAAATTCCGGAAAGTCTATATAAAATATATTCTTTTCCGGAAAATTAATATAAAACACATTCTTTCCGGAAAATTTATATAAAATATAAATTTTTCCGGAATTTATTATATTATAAAATACATTCTTTTCCGGAAAATTAATTAAAACACATTTCTTTCCGTAAACTATATAAAAACATTTATTTTCCGGAAGGTTTATATAAAAATACATTCCTTCCGGAAAATTAATATAAAATACATTATTTTCCGGAAAGTAGTATAAAATTATTTCTTTCCGGA